TCTATATTGGGAGTTAGAAAAGTTGCAATGAAATAGAGAGGACGTGCTGGCCCCTGCCCGCAGCAGAGTTCACTGCCTTATTTAAAACCTCCTGGTGAATGCCTRTGCTCGGGCAGGCGCTGTTTACTTAGGCTGAGTGTACAGTGCACACAGTTCTCTGCTGCCCAGGAAGGAATAAAGACCCACTGTTGGAGCCAGCCAAATATTCCTGAAATCCCATGACGTGCCAGCAGGGATTTCTGCAGCTCCCAAGTTGGTGATCGCTCCRCTGCGTTTTGCAGGGCAGCTCCGAGGAGGGAGCAGCCCCGGGTTTCAGCACTGAAATCCCGGGAATGCCGGAAGGCTCCTTGGCAGGAGCAGCTCCCGATGGTGCTGTGCTTTGCACGGAGCTATCGGGGCTCTTGCGTGACCGTGGTTTGGATCAGCTGGGTCCCTTCCGAGGCAGCTGCCGGCCACGTTGTGTGCAAGGAGGGACGTGAGCAGACAGCCCGAGCCGGCAGCCGGAGCGCGGGAAGGGGCAGCCCTGCRGGAGCGGCCCCGACGGCAGAGCCGCTGCCGCCCCGCTCTGCCCGTCCCTGCCTGCGGAATCCCTGCGGGGAAACGTGGCGCTGCTCCGCGTGGAAAACCCGCCGGATAAAACGCCCTAAGCCACACACAGCCCAGACTGCCAATTAGCCTGCCTCCGCCGAAGGGTTTCTTTGTGATCTGGCTTCAGCCTCATTCAGTAGGTTCTTTTTTAAGACCTAGGTTTTCCTTTCATGCACTAACCAGTAGCCTAAATAAAACGCAGCTTGGGCTTTTTTTTATTTTTTATTTATTTATTTTTGATTCCTCATGGTCTTCCAATGTATTTTACCCACGTTTCTTAACTACATCTTTCCCTGARCCTGAAAGGAATAGGGTGCCGAGCCAGCCATCCATGCCTGTGTGTGGATTGGGCTCCCGCCGCCTCGGAAGGGAWGACTGTGCAGGGGTTTCTCGGAGTCGTTATTGGGGAAAACGCCCGTTTTGCAGCGAGCGCGGAGCAGCCGCGGAGCTCGGCGGTGCTTCCCCGCTCGGGTGCCGGGCGCTGCTTTCCCTGCAGCCCGGGCTCGGGAACGCAGCGATTCAGCGCAACGGGAGCCGAGCTCCTAAGGACGCCCGCTCATTTGCTAAGCAGGGGGCTGGATTTTTAATTTTTTTTTTAATGTATAATTTAGAGCGTGTTTCTGGCCGGGTGGTGCCCTTGCCGCCGCTCGAGGCTTTGCGGAGCCGTCTGCCCCTCCGTGCCCGCGCCGAGGGGCTGTGTCCTGCACAGYCTCTGCAAGGGCTGCCTCGCTCCCTGCGAGCCCCAGCAGAGCTTCCACAGGGCTGCGTTTTGCATCCCCAAATCCCTTAGTTCTTTCAGGCAGCCCCAGGTTGCTTCCAAAATCGATTTAAAATACAGCAGTGTCATTTTAAATGACACAGAAGAGGGCGAGAATACCCGTGTCCCTCCCTCCCCTGCAGCCAGGCGCTTCTCATTGGGCAAGGCTGTGTTTAGGCTGTTTAAAATAGGCTGGCCGGGCTGGTTCTTGCTGTGATTCGGAGGCTGCAGTGCCCGTGTGAACGTGCAGCGGGGCACGGAGCGGGGCCGCCGGCCTCGCGGGGCCAAAAGGACGTGGAAGGGGCCACGGGCTCCTCCGGGCTCCTCCGGGCTCCTCCGGGCTCCTTTTCCGCGGCTCCCAGCGAGCCCGCCTGGCTCGGGGACGGCCGCGATGCCGCTCCATGTCGCAGACCTCGTCCAGCCGAACGCTGCTCCTCTTGGGTAGTTCTCGTCTGCTTTATCTGCAGCAGAGTTTAACAAATCAAGTCCATCTTTGAGGGTTTTTGGCCGCACGTTGGTGTCCTCGCGGGGTGCAAAGCGGAGCAGCAGCGAGTGCTGCCGGCAGCATCCCCGTGTCCTGGACTCCGCTGCACACACAGAGCCGCGGGACGGTGACGTGAGCCGGCTCYGGGCTTCAGCTCCCGCTCTGTCAGGGTGCATGATGATGGTTTTTCACTCATCAGAAACAAAGGCAGAGCTGCAGGCACCRGCTGAGCTTAGGCTCTTCTTGTGCGAGGTCTATTTACCAGCATACTGCTTAAGCTACRGTTTGAGTGAGAAACCTGAGTTCTGCTGTGGTCAGAAAGAGGTCTGCTACTCTCACATCTTCCTGCCTCCTTCGGTTTGATCCATCATGCTGGTTTATGGGAAATCCTATTCTGTACTTTGTGTGTACTCTTAGAGAGTCTTAAGAATCCTCTGCTAAGATCTCGGGCAAAAGCCTTGTAGTAGGATGGGTGAGGAGGACATCCAAGTGTACTTGTGAGCRTGTCTGGCAGCCAGGCTCTCTGCAAAGCAGTTTTCACTCCCCTTCCAGGGGCAATAATGCCTTGAACCRCCGGCAGGTTGTTGATGCCCTTGCTTTAAAACCAGATCTCTGTGTCCTTCTCCTGTGCCTGTCCCCCTTAAYCAGTTTCCTCCCTGTTTCAGACCCTCACCCCAAGGCACAGAGACAAAAACTCCTGCAGAGATGAAGGTGCAAACATTTTGAATTCTTATTACTGATGTAAGACTAACCTTTGGTTTCGCCAGACATGTAAATCCATCAAATGAGAATTAACTGTAACATGCAATAAAGCACATGACTATCAAAACGTACTGCACATATGGAATGGTAATAAAATAAGTCTGGCAGCTCCCGCATCCCCAGGGGAGGTCTGGCAGTTCACACAACTGCAGACCATTGCAGATCCACTGCCGATTACCTCCAACACCACCAGTTTCCTATGGGAGAGCATTAGGCAGGGCATAACCAACTAATTTTAATTTTGTGTTTTGCAAAATTCACCAGAATGTGTAAAAGAAGAAATGCAAAGCACATATACCCAGAGCACTGCTGGTAGCTTATATGGATAACCATTCATTTAGTTCTTAGGAACCCAGAGCAGCCAAGACTGCACCAATATTACATCAYACGGTCTAGACATGCAGTTGAAAGGGCTGCACAACTGCCTATTCACATGAGCAGACACTGCAGATTCACATCCCAATCCCTTTTAAATCCCTAACCCCACTTTTAGCTCTTTCCACTAAAATAGAGAACACTTTTTTTTAAAAAATAAATAATGCAAAAGCAAATTTAAACATAAACATGGGTAAAAAAATGAGCATAGAGCTGCCTGAGAGTTCTGCCTCTGCATTGTCTTTTAAGGCTCTATTGCTGTTACTGCTTCTAAAGCAAAGTGGTATCTTTAGGGTAGTCACAACTGTGTGTCTAAAACTACTATGGCTGGAAATTTGGAGGTGGCCAGACAGACCCTTTGATTARGACTCATGCTACCAGAAGCCACAATTAAATGATACCCTTGGACATTTATTTCCCCATTTTTCCACTTTCTCTATGAATTCTTTCTGTCATGATGAGTCATTTCCACATTTTTTCTCGCAGTGCAATATATTGCCTCTCCGGTTTGTGAGATCTCTGTTTGGGGAACTGATTTCCCGCCAGCGGATGCAATCTGCAGCATAAGGGATGAGACATCATTCTGGGGCTAAGATTGCCACGATTCAYAGTGAAGTTGGCCATCATTAACCCGCATGTTTAGGGGGAAAGAAAACAAAATAGAGAGTTGTGCTCGTGCAAAGGGGTTTATCCATCACTTAGGGATATTTTAATGCAGAAACCTGCCTTTTCACCCGTCTTCCAGAYCCCAATTTCTGCCTCCTCGTGGAGCTCCTTGTGGCTCTGGGCCTCGAGGTGGAGGCTCAGATGGATTCTCAGATGGGGAACCCAGGGACTTGTGCTGAACGGGGCAGATCCGCAGCCCTAATTGCCCCCATCGCTAATTTCTTAATTTCTTAATTTCCTAACTCCCCTATCGCCAGGGCGCCGCAGCGCGGGGCGAGGCCGCCGGGCTGCGCAGCTACTCGCGGCATTACGGGCGAGCGGCGGCGCGGGGCGGAGCTTCCGACGTGGCGGCGGCTCAAGAGGAGCGGGGCCGGGGGCGGGCCGGGGGCGGCGGCGAGCCTGGAAGGGCCGGGGCGGTTCTAGAAGGGCGGCGAGCGGGACCGGCCGCCGGCGGTGAGCGGCGGGGACGGGACCGGGGACGGGACCGGGGACGGGACCGGGGACGGGACCGGGGACGGGACCGGCTCTGCCTTCGGGGCAGCGGGAGCGGCTGCGGGTCTCCCCTCCGGGGCGGTGTCGGGAGCGGCGCGCGCGGGTCTCGCCCCCGGGGCGGGCGCAGGTGCCGGGGCGGGGGTCGTTGTCTCGATGCCCCGGTGCCCTCGGGGGTTTCTCCTCGTTGCTCCCGTCGCGGCTCGCTCTTGCCGTCGCGGCTCGGGCTGGCGAAGCGCTGCGGTCGCCGTGATCGGCGGGCGCGCCCCGAGGGCGGCCAGGGCATCAGCAGCGAGGCTGGACCCCCCTCGTCAGGTAAAGCTCCCCCCGAGGGAGCCGCCAGCCGCCCCGAGCGGGCGGGAGCCACCGGGCGGCCGCGGGGGGGCCCAGGGCGGTCGGGCCCCCGCGGGGCTCAGACAGTCTGGCGGCCCCGACGGCTCCAGCGCTTCCCTGTCCGGCAGCCTGAGGCAGGAGGGAGGCCGGGTTCCTTGGGAAGAGCCTAAGGAAAGTGCGGTTTTCCTTTTGTTTCTGCCCGGAGAAAATGCCCTGCAGCAAATAAAGGCCCCCTCCTAAGAAGTGGAAGGGCTGGTTCCTTGTTTCTGTGCCTTGGAGCCTGAACGTGGCTGGTGTTGGGAAGGAGCTTAGTGAAACTGCAGYGTGATGGGGGCTGTAACGCGCCTGGCTGCGGCAGCTTGCGGGAAAGCCAGTGCTGCCTGGATGCTCCTAGGGAGCCGCTCGGAGCCCCTCGGGGTGCTCCCAGCCCGGCCGTGCTGACCTGCAGCAGCCTGAATCAGCGCCCTGCCTCGCCTGGGCCRGAAGCTTCCCGAATCGCTTTGGAATTCCCGCTCCTGGGATAAGCCTGCGTCCCTGGAGAGGGTCAGAAGCAGTGACTTTATTGGAAATAACTCTGTTTGCCTTGATATTTCAGTATAGGTAAATGTCCACTCACCATAACTTAGCATCTGGTTTTAACTACCCTTCTTCCCYTCTTCTTCCCCCACCCCCTAAGAAATTTTGAAATGTTTTTRCCTTTTTTCTTSCCCCTGTGTAACACAGCAATGCGCAGTGGAGCTCCTGCCCCTCGGCTGGTCAGGATGCCCGTGTGGGTGCGTGGCACCACGCGGTCCCGCCGAGCCCTTTCCACAGAGCCTTGTGCAAATGCAGCCCAAGTGGGGCAGTGCGTGACCTAAAAATATGTCCTAGGAGGTCCCTGCAGCTCAGCTGGGGGACGAGAGTGTGCTGTGCTGATGCAAAACATGCCTCTGAGGCCACGAGACAGGAAAACTTGGCTTGAAACAGCAGCGAAGCTCCTTATCTTGGAGGAAAGACTGAGCTGCCTGGTTCTGTGGCAGTAATTCACAGCCAGTAATTGTGCGCATTCCGCGGGAGCAAGTATTCAAGGCAGGCTTTTCCCAGGAGATTTTACCTAAAACTTCTTGCTGCTTTATTTACAGGTGCTTATTGAGGAGAMAGCTGAGCTGAGCGGACACCCAGGCATCTTCAGCAGGTTCATACTGTGGCCTTCTGATATTAAGCACCCGGGAGATAACCTGCCAGGTAAGTTAAAAACAAATAACAACCATGACTGCCACTCCTGTAGGTTGCAGATTAACTAGACAGATATAAAGTGGTACTGCTCTCACAGTAACAGATGACAATTTTCCTTCTTGCTCCTATATATTTTTAATTTTTAAGCTCTCTAGTGCAGGAAGTGCAAGCCCAAAGCGTGATGGTTTATTTCAAAGTCAGTAACAGCAGCRGGATTTACCCTTTAGTGTAAGGAGTTTTTCACTCTAGGTTTAAGTCAGGAATCCAGCCTGTTTATTATTTCCATGCTGTTACATTGGCAAGYGTCCAAGGGAGCAAGCAAGCTATAAACATGTGCATGTTTTCCTATGACTAGTTCTGATTTTTTTGTGTATAACTTTCTATATACTGGAGAATGTAAGGCATGTTTGGAGGCACGTTCTAGGGTGGTCTTAGAATAGATTCAACCCCCAAACCTTTGAGATGRTATCTCAACTTTAACTTGGTCCCTAATGTCGGTTGAAGGCTGTTCTTTGACAGTAAACCTGYTTTTATGTAAAACTTGTTTTTTCAACACTGAGATTGCTTTCAGTGTTGCACGAGCATTTGGAAGCTTATCTGAAGCTCTTGATATGCTAAAATTCTTGGCTTGCGCAGTAAAATTTGGCCAAAATTTCAATATTGAAGAACAACCTCCAGTAAGAAATGACAAAATACGCAATCCTTCTGGCCTGTTCTCCCTACTAGGGAGGGATTTAACACTAGATTGATCCATATGGGATGAGGTTACTGATCTGCAAAGTAAGATGCAGGGAGATCTGTTGTGCCTTAGGCTAGCCTGAATTTGCTGTCTCAGTGCCAAAGTTAGGGTGTGTGTTTTCTTTGGCCATGCTTTTAGAAAAACTGTTGAGAGCTAATCCAGATGCTTAGAGTTTCAGAGGCTGTAAGGCTAAGACTAACAAGATCCTTTTGCATTAGAGGGAGCRAGCCTGGATTTTACTGCAGGTTCTGCCTATTTGTTAATGCATGCACGCAGGCAGCTTGCCTTTTGGTCTGCCTTGAAAATTACACCCGTGTTTTATTAGTTATGAGGCAATTATAATTCTTTTCAGATGCATGTGAAGTGTTTTGGCAAGAAGGATAGTGATATAGGCATATGCTTCTCTAAGCTGTAAATCTGAAGTGTGCTGAAGGAAGGAGCTGAGAAGCAGGTATTTGATGCRTAAGGGAGAAGAACTCGCATGCTGGGGCACCTAATGGTGAGAGGAAGCAATTCCTTGGAGGACCTTGGAAAGGGAATGAAGTCAGACGTACAGCCAGGTCGGTGCTCCTGGCTGCCCTGCAAGGAGCAGGGCTGTGGGTAAAAGCGCTGCCGTTGGGAGAAACCCTTAATAGACTTGGCTCATGAGGAGCCCAGCCTCAAATTGCTGTTTGTGTAGGGATGGGCAGCTCTTTGGAGCCTGGCATGAGAACCTCAGCTCTGGGTACATGGAGAGCCTGTCTCTGGACAGCAGTAACTCTGAAACAGGGGTTTGTTTGTTGGATTATTCTATACTGCGTTAAATTTAGGTACTACGTGGAAGCAGCTGTTTCAACTGTGGTTTTCTAGGTGGATTGTAGAGCACAGGCAAGCACGTAGGGAGAGCCAAACTGTATCCCTTATTTGTGCCATCAGCCTGAAAGCAGTCATGCAGTGCTGATTTACTATGTAATTCAAATAATGTTCATCAAAYCTTTGACAGTATTTTGTCAGCAAGTATTTTCTTTTACAAACTTTGTAGCAAGATGTGGTTATGGGGCTGCCGCTGCCTGTTGAGGTTCCCTTGCTAAGAAGACTTGTTCCCTTACAAATGTCCTTATAATGGAGCACTGTCTGGAACTTGCTGGGAGTCTCTTGGGTGAAGGGGAAGGGATCCATGTTCTCCAGTGCCTCTAGCTCTGACTTACTGCAAAATCCAATCCAGTGGCTCCAGTATCCCAAGGGATGAGGGGGAAGTATCACGGGGGATTTGCTGTCTCGCTCTGGTGATCTACAGAAGAATGAGGCTGCCTGTTTGCTTGGTCAAAAGGAGCAGGATAAATAACAGATAAGTTTCATTTGACCTGTAGAAGTGTTTCCCTTTTGGCTCTCATGGAAGCTCTCTTGAATCTTGTGAATAGATATGAACTATGGCGAGAAACTGATAGGCCTGTTGGGTGTGTAAGTAACTTTATTTTTAGGTCAGATCCATGCTTTAATCTCAATGGAACAAGAGTTGTTGGAATGCTTATTAAATAAAGAATTCGGCCTGGAAATTTTGAAGAAAATTCTGTCCTTGTCAGCTTTGAGTCTTGTTCCTCCTGCCMGCGCTCTGTGCAGGCGGACGACCCTCTTCCCAGTGGGAGCAGGGATTCGTGGAGGTCTCCCACTCCTCAAGTGCAGTGTTTATACAATACACGTTTGCTTGGTGTTTTAGCTGGGGGCATCCAGGGGCAGGAAAGGAGCAAAGCAGTTGGCATCTGCTGTGGTGTGCAGCAGAGCTGAGCTCAAGCTGCTGCAGCAGTTTTTGGAGTGAGGAGGGCAGCACAGGCGAGGCAGAGGTCTAGGAGCTGCTGAGGAACGTGCCCTGCTGATCCCTGCTCCATGGGCACACTGCTGTCCTGGGACACCTTGTAGCCTCTTAGTGTGGAGCAGTGGGTGCCCTGGCCGCCCCTGGTCCTTTCGTGTTTTTTTATAAGCCCAAGGCTGAAACTGAGCCTCAGGGACTCGTTATTTTCCAGGCTTCTTACAGAGGAAGGCAGTTATCTTCACTGCCTTAATTGGGGGGGGGAAATTCTAATTTTTTACCTGTTCAGCAGGAAACGTTCATCTTCTCAGGATGCTGTTGAGGAGAAGCCAGGAGGGTGGGCAGTATTTATCCTGCATAGACTTATTTCCTGTGGGCTTTTCTGTATAAGTGGTTTTATTCTCTGAATAAAACATACTGGGTTTATAATCATTTGTTTTAATCTCAGATGTTGAGGTGGGAGGTGCTAATGTCCCTTCTGCCTCTTCCTTTTTCTTTTTTCTCTAAGCAGATGGTTGTCTGTACTGGGGGGGCTTGCACAYGTGTGCTCGTGCATACTCGTGCTCTCCAGAAATGTGGTCATAACATTATGCTCATTCTCTTGTAATTCACTTCTCGTGCTGTTTTCCTCCAAGTAACAGCTGTGAAAAGAATGTGTATAAACAGTCTGAAAACTCTGCAGCCAGGTGTCCCGCTTGTTCAAGAAAGAGCCCACTTCTCTGTTTACTGAGAGTTTCTGTTTATTGACTTGACTAAAAGTGAGTAGGATGGCAAAGCTGTTAAAGATCTGCTGTAAAGACAAGCTGCTAGCTGTAGTAAATGTTCTTCTTGGCAGATCTCCTGGGCCAGGAGAGAGGATGGTGGGGAGGCGCTAGGAGAATGCGGAGTCGTGGTGTTTGAACTGGAAAGTTCCCTTGTAGCTCCCCTGCCAGGCTTTGTGCAGAGCATCCAAAATCCTGTTCCGCGGAACAAGAACAGGCTCTGCAGATGGACAGGGCTGGCGCCGTGTCCTCGGTCGCCGTGCTCGGGGAGCGCTCCCGACTCGCCGTGCCTTCTGCTATATCACTTACTGCGGCCGCGCTGCTGGCAGACCTCTGCGTGGCACCGTTCAGGCAGCTTCTCTCCCTGCTCGGGTTACCCCTGTACAGCTTTGAACTGCCTTAAACGAGCCGTTTGGGAATACACGCTTGGAAGGGGCGAAGGGGAAGGGGGAAGGGAAGCATCATGATGCTACAAGATGTTTTCTTGCTTATTCGTGCTTGCGTACTGTTGCTGGAGGTGTTTCTGATTTGTAATGAGTCCTACAGCAAGCAAAATGAATAATTGAAAGCTTTTCCTCACAATGTGGTACCGTAGGAAGAACTATTTGCTACTCTTATTCTTAATGGTCTTATTGAGTGTTTTTTGCTATCTATTTTCATGGCATCTAGGAACTGTGACTGAGCTCCTGTCATGCTGTGTGCTTGAAAAACCCTGGTGTATGTACATGTGTGTGTAGTTCTCCACAGTATATTGTGGAGAACCATATATGTGTGTAGTGCCACATATATTCTRTTCATGCCACTTCTTCCTTTTCACTATATTGCAGGTGAGAACCATGTGGAGGATGAAGCCCTGGCTGCAGCTGGTGCTCTTGGCCTGTGTTTGCTTGTTCTGGCAAACAGAAGCAGAGTTTTTCACTTCAATAGGTAATGCCCAGTTTTGTGCATTACAGCTAATTGCAGCATTAATTTTGTGCATTACAGCTAATACAGTTGCTAACACTTAAGCCTGCAGTTGAAGCATAGGACTTCAGGATGCAGATCCTGCATCAGTGGACTATTTTTCTCTTATCCTCAAGAGAAGCTAGAGTCAGGAATGGGAATGGAAAATTAATATCCTCTTTACCTAGTGGGTGGTGTATAAGACTTTGATAAATCCCAGAGATTTGCATAGAAATATCTTAAATCCTGTAAATTAATTTGATAGTTCGTGTGTTCCAACAASTGTAGTGCTGTCATTTGTGACTATGGTAGCCTTAAAAAATATAAAGGCAAACCGAATTCTTCTGTGACTTCAGATGTAGTGTGAGTGCCCCTCGGATAATGCAGATTCATTTACTACCTCTACCTGCTCTCTGGAACCACTGGAGCTGTGTCTTTGTAATAATATTTAATTTTCAGTGTTCCAAAGTCTTTTGCTGTGCTTCTGAATCTTTGGATTGTTCAGTGTTTGGTCTGTGAAAAGCAAAGTTTCTCATAGCWATCTGGAATGATATGCTAGCAGTTTCCACTAATATTAATTGGGAAACACTTACAGGCAAGTCTATAAACACAGGTCTGAGATTCCTCTATGCTTTAATGTTAGACTGTGTTTCCCCAGTTACCCATATTGAAAAGCTGTAATTTTAAGTGATGCCAGTGGCTAGACTAATAAATTGYTGGTGTGATGTAATCTGTATCCACAGGGAAAACAGATACCATGGCAACCGTTTGGGTCTTCTCCTGCTTTGCCTGTAGCTGCATTAACAGCAAACCTTTTCAGTGATTGTCTTTTATGCAACTGCAATGTTAAAAGTGATTTGGAGATGGTAGGAGGGTCACAGCAGACTACCTCCTAGGCCAGTAAAGTTGAGATTTTAAAGCCACTTGAACATTTGAATGTCAGATCAACATGTTTCATAGCTTTTGTGGCTTACAAGCATTAAAAAAAACGTACCTTCCTTCCCCCTCACCCTGCCCACCCTGCTTAGTTTCTCTGTCCTTTAGGTGGCTTTAATAGCCCTAGAGCACCTGAGGTTGGTCTGCTGTGCTGTTGTAAAATGTTTGGTTTGTTTGTTTTTAGTTCTCACTCACATTTCTTCATTTCCCATTTTTAGGTCAAATGACAGACCTCATTTATGCAGAGAAAGACCTGGTGCAGTCCTTAAAGGAGTATATTCGAGCAGAAGAATCCAAGCTTTCTCAGATTAAAAGGTAGGGAGAAAGGATTGCAGTAACCAAGGTGCCTAACAAAATGAGTAAGCTATTATGCTGATTTACACCTTCTCATTGTCATCTGTCACAGGATCTGGTTAATATTTCCTCACAAAAGGTAACAATAATGTGGTTATTTCTTTCCATAGAACTGCAGAGAAGTGTCCCTGCTTCAGAAATACTTTTTTCAAATTACCTGCCCCTTAAGTAATTGTCACTTGCTGGGCTTTTTCCACATCTCTCCTTGTTCTTGTTCCATCACAAACACTATGTGCAGAAGACTCTCTCTGATAAGGGATAGCATGCAGGGGAGCAGGAAAAATCATCACTGTAGCATTAATAGCATAAGCAGCAGTTCAGATGTCCTGTAATGCAGAAGGTGACATTGCCTAGTACCAGTTTGGAGCTGAATAACAGCATTTTCTTCTYAATGGAGAGCACTACTGCTGCTGTTCTGTAGCCACTGACTATTTTTCAGTCTAGAAAAGCATCAAAGTTTTGGGTTTGGTTTCTATAAAGCCAACAAGCAACTGGGTTGCATGTAGGTTTGTGCTGCTGCTTTGAGATGAATAAATGACACTGAAAGCGATTGTGTGCTCTGTATCATTGTCTTTATTTTCCATACTGAGATATGTTGAAAATTGGTGGTTAAGAGTCATTGCAAGTGTGAGAGGTTTCTGCTGTAGTAGGTCTTTTGGAAAATAGTCAGGGGAATAAATTAAAGTTGTGATTAAAAAATCAGTTATGCTTCACTTGATCCTTGTGAAGTTGAAAGCTCAACAGCTGGTTATAATGGCAAAAGGAGCAATAAATTGGTTCTAGCTATGTAATTAGGATGACTTAATAAGGAAGATATGCATTCATAAATTGGTCTCAGACTGAGACATATGCTTCTTTTTCCAGCTGGGCTGAAAAAATGGATGTACTGACTAGCAAATCAACCTCTGATCCAGAAGGATATCTGGCACATCCTGTAAACGCATATAAACTGGTGAAGCGTTTAAATACTGATTGGCTGCAATTAGAAAACCTAGTTCTTCAGGACACAACAAATGGTAAGGAGCTTCAGGGAAGAAAATGCTGGTAGGAGGTAGCCTTATGGCACGGCAATTGCTTCCCCTCGCTGTGTTCTGGAAAGCTGCAGACTCGCTAGTGGTTTAAATGCTGCTGCCAAGGCCRTTTGAGCTTAAGCCAGTGACTGGCCTCTTGTTTACTGGGTGCCTCTGAGTGCCAGTTGCTGCTCAGATGTTTCTGAGTCCAGACTCAAGAAGTTGTACCATGTCTGAGACTGATAACACTGTGTTTGGCCTCCCCTGCCTTGGAGGGCAGACAAGGATATTCCGAAAACTTCAGCTGTGTTGGCACCTAGTATTTCATACTCCTTTAATTTAAAATTTATCCATCTACTTTTCCAATCTGCTTTTTCCTCGCCRTTTTTAACTACCTTGATCAGACTTGCACTATATTGGTTAAGGAGCTCTTATCAGCTCCCCACTAGCATTTGACAGATGCTGTAGTGTATATATTAATACAATTGCTATATTATCCTGTTATCTATAAACCTGTCTTTCTAAGACAAACATGTCCAGTCTGTATGTCTGAATCCAGCTTCCTTCAGCTTATTTTTAGTGCACATCTATTTTTACTGGCCCCTATGAAAGTAAGGGGGGAGGTAAGGAAATATTTCATGCAGAAAACATGGTTTCAAGGTTTTTTCCCAGCCAAGATTCTTGGTGTTATGGAATAGTCATCCTAGGTGAAGAGAAAATGGACAATTTTATGGAATAGCTGTCCTTATTTTTTTTTTTAAGAAGTGGCTTTGAGAAGTCTGCTGGCCATGTGGCAGATGCTTCCTTCCTTCAGCTGTTCTCTCCCCTGCCCCTCAACCTGCTGTAGAACCTTGATTTATTTGCATAGTGCACTTAGTTTTACTTGTTTATGTGACCTGTTATTTTAGTCACTAGGATTAAAAGCCTCTTACCAGATAACAAGCCCTTCAAAATCCCAAGTAGGGGATTCTGGTTCAGGTCTCTRTCCCCTGAACTAAGACTTGGATCTTGACTCTTGCAGCTTAACACGTTGGTGGAGTGCCATGATCTGCACTTATCTCAGGATATTGCAAGAGGAGAAATGAGGGGAAATGAAATTTTTATATGGGAAAGAAACTACAGAAAACTGAAGATCGTTAGGTTTGCATTATAATCTTCAGTAATTGTGCAGCACAGAAAACCTTTTAGTTTTCTCTTGCCGTTGGCTTTTGTGTGAGCTGCAGTTCTTTAAAATGGGTCAGAAAGCAATGTTTATATAACTAGAGTCTGGTGTGAGGCTCTGTATTTAAACCTAGACTCTGATTCTTATAGAATTCCAAAAACAAAGCAGATGTTCCTTTTCAAGTTAATCTGGTTGCGTGTGCTCTTAATTCACTCCAACTCTGGCAGTAACGTCGTCTTTCCCTTTTAATGCAAAGGCTTTATTGCAAATCTCACAATTCAGCGTCAGTTTTTTCCAACCGAGGAAGATGAGACTGGAGCTGCCAAGGCTCTGATGCGCCTACAGGACACGTACAGGCTGGATCCTGAGACTCTCTCTCGAGGTAACTTGCCAGGTAATTGCACAAGGGTCCCCTCTGCCCTTCAGAAAAGGAGGTGGCAACGTCCTGGTATTTCTGAGGCTTTGATCAATGCTCCTTCAAAGTCCTCTCGGCAGTCATGAAGCATCCAAGAACCACGGATCTAAAAATCCATGAGGTTTAGACACTTGGATGCATCTATCTTGAATATTTAACAACCTTAAGGCCAGGCAGGCATGACCTGCATTGGCAYATCGGGTATATGCAGTGACATGTTCAAGTAGCATTTTTAAAATTATTACTCTAAAAAGAAAATGCTGATTTCACTGATGTCTAACAAAGACAAAAACTCTGTGCAGGCTGTTGTGGGCTTCACTGTGCCAGTTCCAGCATAAGCAGGTGAAATGGGTGCTTTGTGTCCCAGAGAACGCGTAATCCATGGAAGGGAAAACCATGCTTCCCAAAGCACTGCTTGCTGGCTTTTAGAAACCAAATAGTCGTGTGTGTGGATGACTTCACAGCACACAGTTCTAGTTTTTGCCTTTAGGTAATTAACACAAACATGAACAGATGCACAGATGAGTTTTAGCTGGAGCAACCGTGAATCTGTGCACAGTGAAACAGTCAATTGAACACCTAGCTTGTCTGTAGCARTAACTAATAAGAAGCTTGTGAGCAGACTTGTTCCTAATTAAAATATGCAATAAATAGCAGAGAAGTTTCTTTAGCTATTTTTTAGCTRCCTCTACAACACAGGCTTCTCTGCTCACCTCACTCTTAGGTTCAGCAGAGTCAGCTAAGCTGTTCATCTACCTGYATTTGTCTGCAGCAGAATAACCCAGTGCTAACTCATGTTAAATTTTTCTTGGCTTGCATAGGAAATAGTGTTACAGAATTGTGACAGAATGTAGGCTTTAATTGATGAAGGTGATCACGCAGTAGATTTTAAAGTAGAACTTAAAATATTGTCAAAGAATTGTCCTCTGGAAGCCTTTTTGGATGCTATATGTGTGTTTAGCTATTTGTCCTAGTATTTGAAGTCAAAGTTTGTGTGGATCCCTTAATTTTGTTTTCCTTTTCAGGAACAAAATACAGATCCTCTCTGACAGTGGGAGACTGCTTTGGCATGGGCAGGACTGCTTACAACGATGGAGACTACTATCACACAGTGCTGTGGATGGAACAAGCCTTGAAACAGCACGACGAAGGGGAGGATACRACAGTCAGCAAAGTGGAGATCCTAGATTATCTCAGCTATGCGGTTTTCCAGTTTGGGGATTTGCACAGAGCCACAGAGCTCACCAGGCGTCTGATATCTCTTGGTAAGAACAAAAGATCTGCTCTTCCACTAAAGCAAAAGTAAATTACTAGTGACAGCTCTGTGGTACCTCTTTTATGAACTTATAAATCTGTAGAATTGGGTGTTAGCTCTAAAGGTGCTAATGGTAGCACCCACCCCTGAGCTTTGAAACKTGGGAAGAAATCCCTGGGATTGGAGTCTGGCTGGGATTCCACCTCAGTGCTTTGGTGTTATGGATGAGAAGCACTGGGGGAATGGGAAGGACAGGGRATGGTGGGGTGAAACAGCTAGATCCCTGTCTGTACAGGCTCTATGGTCTGCCTGTCCTAAAACTGGACAGACAAGACTTGGAGAAAAGGAGAGATGTAAAGATCCCAAAATTCCTTTTCTTCCTACCTGAAATTCAGATTTTGTCCTAGTGTGTTTAGATAGTTCCCTTACAGGATTATACGCAGGGCAGAAACTTGCCCTGTGCTGGGTTTTCTTGGTGGACTAGAGCTGGTGTTCTTGGCTGTCCCGTGATGTTTTGGGCAGGAGAGAATTATCGTAGCGTCGTGATAAAGACTTATGCAATCTCTGGAACTGGTGAAGTCACAAGTTCTGTTTTTTATTTCCTTTTTCCCCTCCTAACCAAGACAGTACTCATGAGAGAGCAGGCAGTAACCTCCGCTACTTTGAAAAACTGCTGGAGAAGGAGCGAGAAGAGAAGTCGCTCAACAAGACGACGGCCCCGACGGAACCCGTGGCACAAGGGGGGGTCTACGAGAGGCCCCTCGACTACCTGCCCGAGCGCGATATCTACGAGGCCCTCTGCAGAGGCGAGGGCGTGAAGATGGTGAGGGAGGGGAACACCCTGCCCTGCTCCCGTGCAGGGGTGATGGAGCTTGCTAAAGCTGTGGAGCTTTTTCCTTCTCTGGAATCGGCTATTTTCTTTGGAGGAAAATTAAGTGTAGTTCTTTCCATGCTTGGACCTGCTTATATCTTGGCCTGGACATCTTTAGCTGTTAATCCTAAACAGAAAAATAGCTCTCGACTGTCCTTTTTAAAAGGCTGTTGAAAATTGGTTCCATTGACTCTGTCTATTCAACCACTTGAAATGCTGATGTATGACTATATTAGGGGCTTTTTCCTCTGAGAATTAACTGTGCTTTGCTGCTGCTACACTATCTCATTATTCCTTTCCCCTCTGCACGTCTTAGATGTCCCTCTGAGTGCCCATTTGAATCAGTCCCTAGTACCTCTCTTCAGTTATGGCTTCAACTCCCAGGGCAGGGAGAAGACTTGATGTTTGTTCCATCTGCAGAGTCTTAATTAAAAGATTCAGAACTTTTGCAGCTGGTGGCTTATGTAGTTGCTTAGCTTCTCTGATCCATAACCTGTATGAGTCACTCTTCTAGAGGTTAGGAGTCAGGTCTTGCTCAGGGGTATCTTTAGAGAGTAATATGCTACTCTTATTCACTAAAAATAGCAGAATTCGTCTCATGCTTCATTTTTGAATTTGCTAGTGGCTGATGTGTTTTCCCATGTGCTTGTACTGTGCTATAAGGCATATCTTACCTGGTCATGAAAGTGGTTGAACAAACCGTGCATCTCGCTTGACGTTTTCCATTTCAGACACCTCGAAGACAGAAAAGACTGTTTTGTAGGTACCACGATGGAAACAGAAACCCTCATCTGCTAATAGCTCCATTTAAGGAGGAAGATGAATGGGACAGCCCTCATATTGTACGCTACTATGATGTCATGTCTGATGAAGAAATTGAGAAAATCAAGCAACTAGCTAAGCCAAGGGTAAGTTTCCACTCTTCCACCTCAATAGCAGTTGCTAGTTCAGTGCTTTAGTCTCTTTCAGGGTGTCCTATAGAAGAATATCTAGAGCTTGGTAGTTCCTGTTTATGGCATCCTACCAGTGTAGTGGCTCTGTGTACAAGAAAGCACCTAGCTAATGGGCAAGGTAAAGAATTTTTTCCCCATAGGGGAAAAAATATAGAAGTATAGGTTCCTCGATCCATTTTTAAGTAGGCTTTTATTTGCTGTGTTTATGAAGCTGGCCTTCTGTGGGGATCAGCTATGAGGAGTGCTGGCAGGATGTTCCTCTGTGGTGGCTTGCTTCCATAAACTGTATTTTTTCCCATTACATAATACAGTAAAATTACTCCTGGAACTTCAAGAGCTTCAGATAAAATGGAAACATCCAAATGGATCATGTCACTTAAGCTAATTTATCAAGTGAAGCACGCTAGGACATTGACTTGCTCTATGTTCAAAGTTTTATTTGAAAATACCTTGCTCACTGTGAGCATTGATGGTTGTGTCCCTAATATCAGGGGAGTTCTTGCCCGTGTGACTAGGGGTTTCTTTTGTTTTAAAATGTGTTTGCAAGAAATCTCTGATTCTGGGTCTAGCCACTTAAACCTTATCTGCAGTTTATACTTGCCAATATTTTAGTTTTGTAGAAAAAATAACATCTGTATGTGATTGGCTGTATTCAACGTGGGTTGCATGCTTGTTTTGCAACGCAGTCACTTTTACTCCAGTTCAGAAGAGCAGTTCCAACTTCACAGGCAGTACATCCGCGTTGGCTCGTGTCAGCTGCTAACAGCTGGAGGGGTCAATAAAAATCCTGCTTTTCTTGGTATGGATCAAATTAGGACAGCTCTGCYGTGAACATTTGGGAACACCCAGCACTTCAGAGCAGTTGCTTGTGATACGGACGTGTCTGAACAAAGATGGGGCATGGAAGGACACTTGGAGACTGCTTCTGAACACGCTGCTGTAGCCTCAGTGCAGCAGTGCGGATTGTACCAGGAGAAGTTGTTGGGAAGTGTGAAACTGGCTGGAGAGGAGACTGGTCTGAGGAAATACAAAGGAAATAGTGACTCTGGAGAAAAGGAATGGGAGGAGGAGGGGAGAGGGRAAAAAAAAAGTTGATTGTGACCTATAATTAAGTGGAAAGAAGARGGCACAACTCGATGTTAGTGGTTTGCAAAAGCAAACTTAAACATGGTTCAAGTTGGTGCAATGAAAGAAAGGATGGTGTGACTACTTGTTCTCAGCTGCAAATGTAGACCTAAAGGCACCTATTCTGTTGTGCTCACATTAGTCTCACCTCAACACTGCAGTAGAACTACTTGGTGTTGCCAGGGCCTGGGCTTCTGCCACGGGCAGGGATGTGGCTGCACCGTGGTGCCTGCAAAGTGCTCAGCAGTGCACACAGAGTCCTTGCACTCTGCATCTTCATAGGGTTCATCTTCCTAAAACTATCTTGAGCTGTTTGTGACTTAGATAATCCAGACAGCTGGCAGCTGGAAAATGTGATCCCAGTGGTGTTGAGGCTTGTCCTGAGGAGCCTTCTGTTGGTGCAGATCAGCATGCCCTGTGATGACTAAGCTCTTCTGTAAAAGTTATTACCTGTAATTTTAATCTCTGTGAATGGGACTGGTTTCTTCAGTCCACAGGAAGTACAAGCTGGTTAAATTTATGGAGYATCCAGAAACTTTTTGCCAATTTCTTAGAATTCATATGTTGTTAACTTTTGTTGTAGTTCCTTTTTGCTAATCTTGACTCCAGCTGTCTGAAATTACCTTCAGAACGTGTTCAGCAAACTGCATCCACTTGTGGATGTAARGAATACCATGGCTCATGCAGCCAGTCAGTCCCACTTTCTCCAGGATGTGCTGGAGGAGATGSATTGCAGCTCCATTCCTGCTCCAGAATCAAATTGATTATAGATTGAAATAGATTGAAGGTGTGACTTTCAACCAGTAAGTAGGTTTAAATTGTGTAACATCAAGCRTTGTTTTTGAGATGAAAGCTTAAGACGAAGATTGAGATGAAAGCTAAATTTAAGTTAAAATTAATTTTTAACCTATAGTTGATGTGTGTTTTCCCCATTGGGGCTTTTTGTTTGATGCAGCTGGCACGAGCAACAGTCCGAGATCCCAAAACTGGTGTCCTGACAGTGGCAAGCTACAGGGTGTCCAAAAGGTAAGTGTACAGGGAGCCTTTTGTACCAAGCAGCCCTTGTCCTAGAGCTTAATGCTGGAAATACTTTGCTAGTAGCTGTAGCCTGCAGACCACATGCCTGATAAATGGCCTTTTTTAGCCACGTGATTGGAGTCCAGAAGCAATCCYTCTCTTTTGGGTAAGTTAGTTGTGGCTGGTCCTCCAAAATTACTTGTCTAAATTATCTTCTCTTTCTTTTTTCCTAGCTCGTGGTTGGAGGAAGACGATGACCCCGTTGTTGCCAAGGTCAATAGTCGGATGCAGCAGATCACTGGCTTAACGGTGAAAACAGCTGAACTGTTGCAGGTTGGTATGGATGGGAACATGCTGAGGGTGAAAACCTTGTCACAAAATGCTGTTTCCTGCAGACAGTGGTGGGTCTTTGCAACAGCTCTGACTTGCRGTTCAGTGCTTGTTTTTTGTTTGCTTCCTTCAACGCTACAGGTTGCTAATTATGGAATGGGAGGACAGTATGAGCCACACTTCGACTTTTCTAGGGTAAGATCACATTTTCTGTTCCTTTGTTGGAGGTGGGGGTGGAAATGGATTGCTTGGGGCAAAATTGGAAATGCATCTTCTATTAAAACACTAATTTAGAGCCTTGTTTCGAGGTAGATGGTGATATTTGGAAAACCTTCATAACTCTTTCTCATGCTTTAGGCTTACAAACCATGAACAAATCAGACTGCCCACTTATCTTCCCTGCCCTTGGTTCCTTGYACAGTACAGACACGCAGTGCAGCAGGTGAATAAGTTCTTTACCTCGGTAGGAAACAGASGCCTGGGTTGCAAGTGTGCCGAGGCAGAGAGTTGTTTCGTTAAGCTTCAACGTTCAACAAGGTTGTCAGAATCCTCCCTTGTTCACTTGGCTACTAGGTGCTTTGCTGGAGACTCAAAAGGGTTTAGCTGAGTTTAAGGGTCCCCCCTCRCCTCCCACCACCCCAGAGCTGTGCTGGAAACCCCTGGCCCGGCTGCAGCTCCATGGGCTGAGGAGAGGTCTTGCAGCTGCCTATACAGCAAGGCAGTGCACCAGCATGAAGCCYGTGCTGGCTCTCCCCAGCACGGGGACAAATTCTTATTTATTGCCTTAAATACTTTATGAACACAATAATAAAGATCTATAGTGATCTAATAATTTAAAATATATAATCTGTGATAGCTCCAGAGAGCAGCCCAATACCTTTGAGTGCATATTGGATTTTAGACCACTGTACTTAACACTGGATTTAAGAGAGGAGTGGGGGAAACTCAACTTCTGTACTGTGGAGCCTCATAGTCATTAGTTTTGGCCTGGTGAAAGCAGATTCTTGTAAGCACTAAGACTGCCTGGTTTCCSAAGTCAAGCAAATGCTCTTAAATCTTCCTCGAAGCCTTTGAACGCAAGGAGCTCGCTGTGGACTTGGCCACCGTGGCCTTGGCTCTTGGATTCGGCAGCTGGGGCAGAGCTGCGCTTGGAACACGGCCTTGGCCGCAGGCAAGAGTTCAGGCAAGGCAGCCCTGGGAGGTGCTGGGGTTTGTGCTGGTCCTCCAGGCTCTGTGTGTTGCAGACTCCAGTCCTGAAATCCAGAGGCACCTCGCCTTGAGCAGCCTTGCAGCTTCTTATTCTCCTGCAGCTCCCATATAGACCCTTTAATAACTCGGCTATAATACTGCTCAAAGCTATAGAAAAGTCTCTTGGAGTTGAATTCCAGAAATGTTTGGCTGAACCTGAGTTTTACGGTGGTTATGGAGGCCAGGGAATTTCTGTTATTTCAGAGCTTTTATGGTAGGCCTTTCAGGTTGAACTTGCATATGCAAGTGCGAATCCCTTTGGGGGAAGACCTTTTATTAAAACTTATTCTTTAAGCTACAGCACTTCTGGAGGAGGTGGCTGCTGTGTTTGCCTTGCTTTGGTTTTTCTAATGCTGATCTCTGTTACGTGAGGAGACTTATGTCCAAGAATAAAACATTTGAAGTTAATTACTCCTAGCAGTGTAAACACACTCCCCTGCCTTTTTCGAGGGGAACAAGGATGCACTGGGATTCCAGATGTTTCTCCCTCCTTCTCCCCTTCCCCCAAWCTGGCTCTTGCTTTTCAACAAATGGAGCTTAAAGCTTTCTTAAGAGTAAGGGCAGTTTGACCTTTCTGATTTCATCATTAATCCCAGGCAGGCAACCACCAAAGTTAATTATTGCTATTCTAATTCCTCACTGTTGACCAAAAAACTGTTTCTTAGGGCAGAGTATTTATTAGAGTCGGTATATATTATGCATATTCATAAGACTCTAGCTTTAYCTAAAGCATGCTGAAGTTGGTAAGAATTTATATTGACTTCAAGTTTCTTTGCAGCAATACAAATGGTTCAATGCAATAAGCCTGTTAAGTTTGCAAGACTACTTGGTATCAGCTGTGCCTCAGGCCCTAAAACAGCATCGCTTCTCCTCTGACGTGCTGAGAATTGCTCAAGGGCTACTTTTCCTGCAGCCTCCAAATGCAGTTTGCATGCATTTATGCATCGTGTTTGGCTGCAATCTGTAATGGCTTTAATGCTGCCCTGTATAAATGGTCATCTTCTTAAAAATCAACTCTAAATCAAGCTTAAAGGTCTTTCTGCAGAGCTGCACAAATGTAACGCTAGTGTGAGCCTGTTTGGAACCTGGGTTAAAGTTGTTGTCTGTTGCAGCGCCCCTTTGACAGCACACTCAAATCGGAAGGAAATAGGCTAGCGACGTTTCTTAATTATGTAAGTACCTCTCTGCCTGCTGTCTGTGAGCTTGAAGTTTGCAGCRTTTCTCATTTAATTTTATAGAAAGATGAGCCAGATGCTTTCAAGCGGTTAGGGACTGGAAATCGTGTGGCCACTTTTTTAAACTACGTAAGTATGATGATCCTTTATGCCTCGAGTGCAACTTTTATAGCATCTTATTTACAGCTTGTGCAGTTGTTTTTGTAGAGACTTCCTGGCATCTGGAAGTAGGGTCTTCATTATTCTTGCAGCATCAGGTGCTGTCGCATTTGAATTACTGGAGATCTGATGCTCTTCTGCCCAAGTGCAGTAAGTGAAGTGTTTGACCTCATTGGATTTSTCCTGGTGAGAGGAGAATTTGGCTCCTTGCCCAAAGGTGAGTGCCTGGAGCACTCCCCATGCTGCCTTCCTTGTGGTCTTGACTGGCAGCCACTTACTGTGGGGCAGCCCTCTTCTTCCACCATGGCTTGACAGCACTTGATGTTGTGTTCTCTTGGCGTGCTCCACTTTAATCGTTTGCAAAAGGCTGCGATTACTGTGGCGTAGCTGTCACACTGGGAATGGGTTCTGAGTGCAGACCTCAAGGTGTTGGTGTCTGCATCAGCAGCCTGCAGACCATGTACGCGCTGGCCTAGCGTTTTGATGGTGACTTTGTTCCAGCAACGCTGTCTGTCAGCCTAATGCTGCTCTTGGTAACTGGGATGCCCTAATCTGCCGTGTCTAACTCGTGAGTGGGAGCAATTTCTAGCTTGGTTTCGTGAAGAAATACTATTTTGGCTGAACTGACTTTGAGTGCAATGCAACTCAAAGCAASCAGAGTCACTCTCAGCTTATGAGTGAAAACCTCCCCAACAAGAGTGGGGATAAGATAAGCAGTAGCCAAGTAGACTGCTCTGAAAAGGCTTTGCAACACTGCCTTGATCTCCTGCTTATCAGACTTTCAGGCAAGCCTCAACTGAGACTGATAAGCATCCCTTTTTCTGACAGCTGTACATGGTCAGAGGCAACTTACTCTTAATATGCCCACGTAGAGCATTTTACACATGTCCCAACATCCCTACTAACCTTTTTTTTGTGAAGATACAGGAATTAACTTGCAAAGTTGCATGTTGCTTTAGTTGAAAAGGGGGAAAAAAATCCCTGTTGAGCTATGGCATTTCATGCCCTGTGGTTTTAGGYACCAACCAGGAGCACACTGAAGTGGTAATAACATCTACTTTGAATAAAAATACAAGTTAAGACAGAAAATGCAAAATTTGAAATAATGGTAATACTTTCTATTTCAGTGTGAGTAATTCTAGGAACTTTGGAGGGCTTTGGTTCAAGCTTGTAGAATTTACAGTGRATTCATTAATAGTGAAGTAAATGAGTGAAATCCATTATGCTGTAAAGAGGTAAAGCAGAGATTCCTTTAGAGGCATCAAGTCCTTGAGATTTAGCAYAATGCTGTTAAATATCATAGAAACAGTGCAGACAAGTGAGGTTTCCTAATAGTTTGTATAGTGTTTGAGGTTGACCAAGATGCATAAATTAAATCAGAATCTGTTCCAAAGGCATGGTTTTAATTTGTAAGGAAATGTGTGGTTTAAGGCATCTATGTTTTCCTAATTGAACTTTAAGAAATTGGAAGGGAAAACTGACATACTCTGAAATCCTCTCCCTTCTTCTAGAGGAGCTASGTCAACTCTGCAGATGCACAACTTTATGGCTGTTTCTCTAATAAATGGTACATAAACTAGATGACCTGCTGAACAGAAGTCTTCAGTTAATATGAAAGTCTTCATTTCTCTTCTGCCTTTGCATTTATAGTGCTCTTGTAATTGCTTCTCAGAGATGCAGGCAAAAATGCATCTCTGCTTGGGGCAGTCTGCCTTGTGAGACTGCATGCACAAAATGCAATGTAAATATATGAAGTTTGACCTTGTTTTCTCAGATGAGCGATGTAGAAGCTGGAGGTGCAACAGTTTTCCCAGACTTTGGGGCAGCAATATGGCCAAAGAAGGTACTTACTTTTTTTCCCCCCTCATCTCCCCAGTAACTATAACTTATTTCTGAAAATAGCCTCAGAGTTTTGCATGCACTGAAAAAATTGGCTAAGGGTGCAAAAATCTGGATGTTCCACCACACACACCCTTGGCAGCCTGGTCAATAGACTGCCACGTATCAAGACAACTGTATCTGATTTTTGTRGACTGCAAGGGAGTTTACTTTGATTTATGGTGCATGATCTGAGTAAGTTCTCTGGAGTTCTTCTAATTAAAGACTTGTGTTCATGTAAGATGACTTCTCACTCTGAACATGGTTTAGATTAAGTTTTTTGGGGTTTTTTGGGTTTTTTTGTTTGTTTTTCTCTTGGGCTGTCAGGTGACCTATGTTTAGACAGCTGCTACTGGGTTCATAGACATCTATGACTCTTACCTGTAACTTGAGTAATTGTGTTGACTAACTTTTGACTAATTCAGGTCCGCCTTCCCTTTTCAGGGTACAGCAGTGTTCTGGTATAATCTTTTCAGAAGCGGTGAGGGTGACTATAGAACAAGGCATGCAGCTTGTCCAGTCCTAGTAGGCTGTAAATGGGGTAAGTAATGCTCTTTCTAGGAAAAAGACCTGTATGTATGCAAAGGTGCTTATATACTGAATCTTTACGGCAAGGGTAATTAACCTGGATGTTGAAATTGCTCCGGTGTCATATAGTATTAAACTGCTGTTGATCCCCGAACTGAGAAAGTAGAAAGATCTTATCTTCCCATCCCTTTGAGTCATCTTATATCTTGTTATATTGGATGGGAAGGGAAGTATAAGCAAGGATCCTGAGATTATTCCAAATAAAGTCATCTCCCTTAGTGGCAGTGATATGTGCAGAGTGGTTATGCAGCGATAACTAATTTGATGTCCTTGTTCCACAGTTTCAAACAAATGGTTTCATGAAAGAGGAAACGAATTCCTCAGACCTTGTGGGAGAACAGAAGTCGATTGAAATCAACCTGCCACTGGCCTTCATTTCTTACCTTCTGTCGCCTTTTCTGCTGTTTGTTCTTCCAGTTCATTTCTAAGAAATGATCCATCTTTTGTTCTCCAAAAGTCCTAGCACTTTATCCAAGAAGGACAACAAAATAGGTAACASGTATGAGTGAAAAGCACGTGGCGTTGTACACATCCTTGTGTTTGGGTTGCTGTTAGGTCTCTGACCCTGTTCATCCCCAGCCATCTCCCACTGCACGCCCAGCCTGCCCCGCTCGCAGTGCAGGCGGCGCTGGGGTGAACGCTGTGTTTGGGTGCCTCGTCTCGTGCCTTTGTACCTCAGAAGTTTTAGATGTTAAATATTTCTTGAACCAAAGTTTTTGTGTACATGTTGATTTTATTGTATTTCTATGGATCACGAGTTTTGAAACAAATAAAAGATCTTTACAAAAAATTCTCAACTGTGTGTTTTTAATGGTTATACTGTTGCTTAAGTGCCAGTGCCTTTACTTTGCCTTTCATACTCTGTTCATTTTGCATTTTTTAAAATACATTATGGTTTTGGATAATGCTTTACTTGAAGTTGGTATCACATGCTAGTCTTCCACTTCCGAGTGAAGTGGACACTTTAATTTATGTTGAAACTGTAATGTTCTGTTTTGAGTTCGTTTTTTATGTTGAGGTACTACCCAGATCTGATGCAAGAGCTTACAGAAATCCACCCTTCAAAAAAAGAGGACCTTCTGCATGATGAGTGTAATTCTTTACTCTAAAAGTTGGCATCTTTGAGTAGGTTTTTCTTCTAACTACCATGCTACCTGATCTGGCAAAACCTAATGAACGTAGAGTCAGTGAGACGGTTGCAAGCAGATGTAATAGCCTTATGTAGAGTGAAGCAAGGATTTGTCTCCTCCAGACAGRAGGAGATTAACCCATTTGGACCCAAAGATCTGCCTTTTTTTGCCTTTTTTTGCTCTGTTGGTGTTTGCCTAACAAGCTAAACATGTTGACTTGTGTGCAGTGCCTGTAGTCCCAATGGAAAGGAAGGTCCATCTCTGAATTGTAATACAGAAATAAGGCTGTTTCTGGCTTTGTGCAGTTGTCTGACACAATTAAAAAGTTAGAGGAAAGGGACAAGTCCTTTAGAAACCAGGCCCCRTGCTGCTAGTTATGGGGCTTGTGTGGATGTGCCACTGTGTGCCATGGGGCCTGGCTTCACAACAGCTCTTGCAGGGCTCTTATAGCCATGGCCTTGATTGCCTCAAGATGGTTGTGATTGAGGTGAACCCCCAAAGGAGGGAGCAGCGATGGTGCCTCTGCAAACCTGAGATTGCTTAAAGATGAGCTTAGACTGGTCATACCTGGTGTGAATGTGGCTTGGTATTAGAGTGCCCCAAATAGTTTTGAGCATTTCATGGTTACTGCCATGCTTGGATGCAGAGTAGGAACAATACTGAAGTTATAGTAGGTAGCAATAGGAATTGCAAGGGTTGTTTTGACCATTGATGCTCATTTAAACTTTCCTTTTTCTTTGAATTTCAGGTTTTAGTCTCTGAAGGCTGTGGTGAAAAGCTGAGACACAAGTTTATATGTAGGTTTCTCTAATAATGCAGAAAGATCTGAAGTTACCAGACCCAGTGCAGGTCAGCAAGGGTCCTTCCTGCACCGCTCAGCACAAGAGCTGCTCCCTGTAAACTCGCAGTGTTCCTTCGTTTGCCATGAATGTTGTGGTGGTTGGCTCCCTGCTCAGAACATTTCGCTGTTGACCTCTAGTTTTCTTAGTAAAATCTCTCAGCACAACAATAACTTGGGCTGTAAAGAGGTTTGTTTTATAACGAAGCAGGCAATGTATGAGAGCCTTGCGGATGTTAAGAGGAGCTAGTGAGGAGCCAAACCCACACTCAGCACTTGGAGCACTTTGAATTCCAGGCGGAAGGAGAGGAATCCACTTAGACTCTCTGTCAACGTGGTATGTTGACAGATAAAGTTCACATTTGGCCAAAAAAATCTATGCATCTGACCYCTGAAATCATGTAGTTGGCAGGGAAATGCCCCTGGTGCATTTAGGATAGGATACTGAACACTTGCAAGCGGTTTTCATCTGCTTCTGCTGTCCAGCTAAAAGGCTGCCCTTTCCCTTGGGCTGCCTGTCTTGATTCAACCTCTCCTGAATATAGGATGCAATGAGTGTGCTTATGAAATTGCTTGAATGTAAATAGCACTCTATTTATATTCTATCCAGCATTTAGATCAGTAAGTCTAAAATTAAGCCTGCTGGACTGTGTTTAAGCCTAAAAGAGAAAAGGCTCATAGGCTGGAGCTATTGAAACCTCCTGTCTCCCACACCTGAGCAGTTGGCAAATTTGCCCTTAATTTGCCAGCAGTTTCAGCATAGCCAGATACTGCTTTGGCTGTTGGTAAATAAAAAATTGGGGAGAAAAAAWCAGATATCTGATCAGAAATAGCACAGTCCTGCTGTGTGTCAGTACCTGTTGTGTGCACAGGTCCAGAGTCACTCGTGCTGGTGGAGACGGTGCTGGTTGAAGGTGTGAATCAAGCCCATTGCTCCTGACTGCCACCATGTCAACCAGCCTGCAGCGTTGTAAGTGTTGGGGATGATGCCCTTGAAAAGGGGGAGGACTCTAGTTGTAAACAGCACTTGGTGGCTGGAGGGCTCTGTGTAAATATTAGCTCAGGGTAATGTGATGCGGTTTCTTAGAATGCTCTGAACTTGCAGATAGCCTTAGAAGCCTCAATAGCTGTTGCTGGAAAGAAAATAGTGGAGCATAGGGAGAAAGAAATAAATCTAAGGGCTGTCTGCCCTGTGTAGTGTGACCGCTTTAGCACAGGCAAGTGGCTGCTGGGCACGTTGACGTGTTTTAGGATGTGCTGGGAGGTCTTCAGGTTGTGTCATTCTGTGTAAAAGGTACCCGTGAGAGCCAAGAGCGTGTGAACGCTCTTGGGGAGAGATGGGCTGTTCCTTGGGTGTAGGCGCCACCTCCAGCCCCGGTGATTTCTTAGCCCCTGGCCTCGTTACTAATTGGATATGTGTTGTGTCACTGAATGACTGTTTGGCCCTACAATTGGGTTAGGAAATCACCTAAAGCGTAAATGTTCATGTGTGTACAGTCAATGAAATACTTGCTCTCCTTTTCTTTTTTCCAGCATTTGAAGTTACTTATTGCTCTCTGTTTTGCTTATCAGCAAAAACCCATGCAAATCACTCACTGAACTGCCATAGAGGAGAAAAATAATATTCAGGCCAGAATAAACAGTATGATTAGCAAAAGGCTCTAACTTCCATAGACATAAAGGAAACTGTGCAAGCAAGTCCCCTGAACTTTTTGTTTTGTTCCRGAGAGATTAATTTTGGTCTCCTGTTTAATTTTTGTGCTCAGCTTCTGCCTCCTCTTTGGGGCACCCTTTAGGGAAGGCTGTCTCTTCTCACCTGAGCTGGAGGTGGAACAGGACGAGTTCTCAGCTTTCCAGGTAGTTGCCTCCAGGACAGTCCCAGGAGCCCTGATGTTGGATCCAATTCCAGCTTCTCAGGATTGTGTCTTGGCCTCTYTTCTTGCTCTTGGTTTCAGCGTTCTCTGAACTCCAGAGGCATCTGTGTCATTCTGCCAGTCCTGTCCTGCTGGGAGCATTTKGAAAGCAAAGGCTGGTACCTCGTTTTCCAGATGGGTTGCAGTGATGCACGATGCCCGGATCAGGATCTGTCTATCCTTTAGGAATTGCATGTGCTATAGCGAGTTAGCTGATGCTCTTGGATCTTATAAAACAGATTTTCAGTAGTTGTAGGATAATGATAACTTTGATACGCAGTTTGATGAGGCTCACAGCTGGGGAGCATTCAGCACAGTGCTGTGGGTGAGGATACTGCAAGTGTGAGTTTTCATAATGATGATGTGAGAACATTTGAAGATGTGGTGCTAACCTCAGGGCTTTCTCTGTGTATCCTATCTGGTGTTCTGCAAGAGCCTACAACTATATCAATGTCCTATATGGGAAACTACATTTCTAGGGATCTGAGCTCTCTCCAGAGCATTTTGCTGTGTGGAGAAGAAAAACCACCTGCAGCTTTTTCCTCATAAGAGGAAGGTGTACGGTGGCATGTTCCAAGTTCCTAGCTGTCAGGGACGTAGGGGCAATAACTGCAGCAGGAAYGCTGATAGCTGGCGAGGGAAGGGAGCCCACAGCCCTGTGGCCCCAGCTTGCATCCCCCAGCTGCAGATGATCTGCTGTCCATGTCCTTTGTGCCATGTCTGTGCCTACAACAATCTTGGACAAGGAGGTGTCTCGTGTTGGCCACCCAGAATTCCAGCCTGGGAGAAGCAAAGCTAAAGGAGCTGCTGAACTTCCAGCATCTTCTGTGCTAGTCTGGGACAAGGTTGGAGCAGCTCGGCGCACTGCGGGCTCTGCACTGCAGCGGTACTTTTTCCCCTTGTCCGTCTGTAGACCAGAGTAGAGAGTCTCCAAGTGACTCATCGCTTTGGAAGAGGAGCTGGAGCAGGGGCTCTGACTTTGGCAGCCACCCTGGTGGAGAGGATTAGCTGAGCCTGGTGGGACCGCTTGTTCTGGCTGCAAGCAGTTGTGTGTGACTTCTTTGGAGAGCAGCAGCTTTACGTAGCTGGTGAACACCAAGCACCTGGGCGCCAGATGTGCGGCTGCACATGTGGCACTGCCGATGCCAGGGCCAAAGGGGCCGTGGCTGCTTAATCTCAGGTGCAAGCTCTCCTGTGTCCCGTAGTGCTTAATTGTGTCCCGTAGTGCTTAATTCAGTGTTTTCTCTTGCCTCTACACAGATTGTCTTTTCTTTAAGCTGGTTATTGAAGGAGAAAAAAGAAACATTTCTTTCTTGAAGTATATTATTTTGTAAGAAGTCCTAATTCTACATCTGGTCTCAGTCTGTCACTTCCTAAAGAGTGTTAATTTATTGACCCTGTTCCATTTGTTTTTGTTTTTATGTATATATTACATATGTATACACCCAGTGGGCCATACATTGCAAAGGCTTGGGGGGCTCTGCTTGAAYAGGACAGGGGAAATAAGGACCCGATTTGCCTTGGAGCTGCAGGGCACAAWGCAGGAGAGCCGGGGATGAGCTGGGATCGCGTGGTGCCCGAGGCCGGGGCTGCGTGTGCAGAGGCAGCACTCGTATCCCTTTGCTGCAGTAGTTGGGGTGCTGGGCTGGCTGTGTTCCTGGAGGGAAGGCTCTCTGCATGGATTAGTAGAGACGGGTAACTAAGGAGGCCCTGGGCTGTTTTAGGAGAGCTGCTTTGTCCCGCAGAGGCYCTGGGCGTTGCGGGTGCCTCGGCTTCCTGCTGCCCAGCAGGTTGCAGTGGGCTCCCATGTTCTTTCCGCTCCG